AATATAATTAACAAATTGCAGTATTATATTTATTATATTTAATTTCATCATCCAAGGTTAGTTTAACGTTACAATTTTCGTGGTATTGGTTAATTATTTATGCTTACCTTCATACCATGAAGCTGATTCTAAGTTTATTTGATAAAATAGTGAATAAAAAATAGTATAATTAATGAATTATTATAATAATTAATAGTACATGGAATTACCTTCTATTTCTTCTAGTGAGGAAACTTCCATAACATCCGAAAATGACTCTAATGTGAATTTGTGAAATAAATTTTTTTTTAAAATCATCTAACCGTCAAAAATACTCATTTCTAAGCTTTATTTCCGTTATTTTTGTTGGTGGCAATATTTTTTTTTGGCATTTCTATTAAACGTTTACCTTTATTGTCGCTATCAGACATTGTATTATTTGGTTTTTTAAAAAAAAAAAACTTTTTTTTCAACCCAAAAATTATTTTGTATAACGATAACGGAACGGAATATAATGGTGTGGGTGATACTTACCGCAGTATTAAATGCTACGGTAGATATTAGTGCTCCGTAAGGGTCAGTTCGGGTTAATATAATATTTACAGGACCCGAATTCGGCTCGACTCGATTATTATTCGACCCGACCCGATTATTGTTTAACTCGGTTCGACTCGAATTTTTAAAAAGTAAATAAATTTATTTTATACAGATAATGAAAAAGTGCATTAAATTAGCTAATTTATTATTTTTTTAAGTCTTTGGTTATACATTAATTAAATTTAAATTTCCACCAGGAATTCAAACACATCAGGAGTGAATTATATCTGCTTATAGATAGGGCAGTCAGAAAGAAATAACTGTGCTTTGTTTATTTTTACCTTTAGATAAGAGAATTCCGAAGTAATGACTCTAAATCAATCGAAAATCGAATAAAAAAATCGAATCTTAATTTTTAGTTATGCAAATACTGTAAGTGCGGCGGCTATAAGAAAAATTAATTTCTTTTAATAATTAAATAATTTTGGTCGGAAAAGTTAAAATATTTAATCATCGAATTTTTTTTTTTTAAAAAATATAAATAGCGTAAAAATATTTGGGAGGTTTGCTAGGAAAAAGGGGTTGAGACTAGTCTCAGTACCCTTTCCCTAGCAATTAGAATTATCTACACTTGAATAATATGAAAATTTTTAAAATTTTTTTTGACGTTCAAATTGTGATCAAAAAAAAACGCTGCGCCATATACTAAACCTACCGAAATTAAAATTAAAATCAACAAATGACAATTAGCCAATTTGAACTTAATATTATATATATGTGCAGAGGTTCGTAAATCCAAATTTTTAATTTTAAACTCATCAAACTCATCAATAATGTTAGATTTAAATTTTTTGTTTTAAAAAAAAAATAATTTTCTTCAACACCAAAATACCCAATGATACATTCTAACAAAATTAGAGGATCAGAAAAAAGTTCCTTTTTTAGAGTTTGTCTAAAGTCATCATCACAGAATACTAGTGGAATGCGACTTGATTTTTATCTTTGTACGACTTTTCTGACTTCATAATAAACAGGTATGGAACATTATTTTGTCGTATGACTTTTTGATAAAATTACGATCTTTTTTCTAATAAAACTTTTTTTCAATGTTCTTTTCTATGAAAACTAACTGTAATACATGCATGTATACATGTATTAATGAAACGAAACGAAAAAAAAACGCAAAAAGAGTTCTTTAAAAGTATTTGATTGATTATAATGATCCATTGAGTGTAGATACTTTCTATTAATTATTTGAAATTTGAAATTTGCAAATGCATTGCGAAAAGCTAGTGTTACCTCCTATTTGCGTAAGAGAGGTAATTTATAGATAGTTTTATAGTTTAGTATAGACAATAACAATGTAAATAAAATAGCATGTAGATCGATTTTAACGAATAAAGTAATAAGGTTTTTATTGAATAAAATAAAGGAAATAGTTTTATTATAAATGATAAAAGAATACAAATAAATACACAAATACTGCCTCTGCCAGCGCTCTGTAATTGGCCCAAGAGAAAAAGAACTATCTAATTACAAAGTTATTCAAATCATATCGTTAACCAAAAGCGAACGAAGCTCTTTTGTAAATTCCTTCCCATGGCTGACCTTTACCACGCTAAGGCTTTGGATTTCCCAAATAAATCTTTGTCATTCTTCCCAAGATGCAAATTTCTTTCCTGAATATAGTGATATAATGATAATCAAATACTATGCAAAAATGATCAAATCCTAATATTTTAGTGGTTTGCGCTGCTTCAGTAACTTCGTCACTGCATTTCTCTCTATCAACTTATAGTTCTCGAGCTTCACTTAGAGGATTAATTTATAACTATTCATATTAATACTAATGCCTGCATTTTTATATTGTTATTTATAATTCAAAAAAAATTAACTTGATTATAAATTGTGAAATTATAAAAACAACCTTAACCATTTATTTTAAAAAATAATGATATTTTTTTTGCCAAAAAGAATAAATAATCTGTCATATTCTTTAATTCAATATTTTCTGCAATTATTATACGAAAAATTGATATCTAGGTATAATGTAAAGATAAGCAAATAAATCTGAACACTTTTTTTTAAAGCCAATTATAGTTCTTAGACTGATTGAAAGTAATGAAACTGGTGTTATGCCTGAAATTGTACTGAACCAAGATAACAAACTAGCAATACAGTATCCAGGAGGTCTTTCTCAATAGATATATCAACTAAAATGATTTATTTATGATTTAATTGTGTAGGTTAGCAGCGCCTATATGAAGATGAGAAAGATTTGAAAGTGTAAAAGTTTTTATTTAATATTAAAGTCCGTAAGTACAATCGGACTGCACATTTGCAATTAAATTTCAAGCATATATATACTAAATAATGTACTATGCATTTATGCAATGTAAATAATAAAAATAGTACAAATAAGAAAAATAAAATAAATATATTAAAGATAAGAAATAATACAATGCTAAAATAAGACTTCTTTTTCATATTGATAAAATCGCAAAGTAATCATTGCTAAGTTGTATAATTATTACAGCACTGTAGCTCAATTCCTATGTAGATTTTTTAGGTTAAATAATTTTATTTTAGGCCGAAATTAAATTTTGACAGAATTAAAATTAAAAATTTCTACAAAATATTTAGCTCGGCTAATTTATAATACTGGTCTAAAAGTTATAAATTAACCGATCATAAACTATTTATTAAATGTAATAAAATTGATCAAATGGTTGATCAGATATCAAAATCATCATATGGTTTACTATGTTCCGTAAGATTTTAATTTATTAGCTCAATTATAATTAGTTTTATTCATTCAATTGCTTTTTATTTGTAAGGATTCTTTACAAATTTTGGAATAAAAATTATACATTAGGTAGCTCCGATAATCCAAAGTATTTTACCAGAACTTATGTAATTCCTATGTTTTAAGTGAATTAATAAAATATATGGGCGCTTTAGTTTTAAACAATTCTCTTCTGTTTTAGATATATTCATCCTGATTTTAAATGCATTCTAGTTCTTGATGAAAAGAAGCTGGAAAGTGCATATTCACAATTTATGAATAGATTTGAAAAGTAAAATGTGATATCTTGATGAAGATGACATGGCAAATGTCAACACTCTTAGGAACAGCAGGTACAAATTTAACTACAGAGGATTTATTTTTCGGCTTTAATGAGAACATTGCAATGCTAAGTATTTGATATCAAGAAAACAAGAATCCATGATGTGCGATTGTGAAAAATCTATTCTCAATAGCTACACCAGATAGATGGTTTGAATTGAAATCATAGAACTTCTGCAAAAGTTCAACAAAATTATTATGGTTATCTTATATATATGTTACTTTCACTTATAAATTCTTTCAAGATATAAAAGCGACGACGAGATCCTGTAACATATCGTTATTTAGTATATTTAACTATTTTATATCTATTTTATTTGTTATAATCATTATTATCTTTCTAAGATTATAAAAGTTTTCTTGCAGTAGGGCCTGGTTGTCAATTGATTTTTAATCATAATATAAATTATACATATACCTTTTTCATGTACTAACTAATTGAAATTATCGTATTGATTGAGAAATATTATTTGGATCTGTTTGCTGAAAAGAACTGAGCATTATGTCGTCATAAAGTTAATATCCTCAGCACAAATTGTATAAAAACGACCGGCAAAAGGTAAAATTTTAAATTTAAATTACTAGTTCTGCTTAAAAAAGAAGTTTATATTTTAATTAAATAAATTGAGAGTAATCAACGATTAAGATATCTCGATAATAATAATCGTAGAGATAAACGTGATGGTATGAAACTTATATTGCACGTAATACAATATAGAATCTTAAACCGAAAATAATCTAAATTTTTCTTCTTTTTTAATATTCCCAAAGGCATTATTTGAAATTAAAACCAAAATACTAAAAGGTCATGTCCATTATTATTATCTGAAATATTTACAAGAAACCTATCGTAAAGATTTAATTCGAGCTATTATCTCTTTTTAATACATTTCACTTGAAATTTCGAAACTTTTCACAGAATAAGAATTTTATTTTTCATGCTTGCTAGGTAAGACAAATAAAAAAAAGTTAAGTACTCCCTCCCTCTTTGATAGCATCATGTATTTCGTTTAATTGTGAAAAAATCTCAGCTAAAATATATTATAAATGTTCACTCTTAATGTAAGTCAGAATAAAAGAATCATTATAAATATATTACATAAATAAATTTGCAGTTATTCATGTTTTTATTATTTCAAATATGCTTATGTATAAACTATTTGTAATAATAAGCAAGTTACGCAACTTTGTATTATAAAATAATAAAGCTATATAAAGGTATTGTACAATTGTAATATAATTGATGTTGGAAATAAAATCACAAAAAAGAGATTATTTCCATGACATTAATGTTTATTTTTCTTCTTTTTTCCTTTCTATTTCCATCTCCTTTTAATGGATTAAGTAACTCTTTAGTTTAATACCAATTCAATAACCTTGATTGAATTTGCCCATTCACTAGCTTCTTGATTGAGTTGAGTTGTTGACTTGATATAATTTCATGAGTTTCCTCAATGATATAACAAATATTATCCTGGTGGAAAAGATAGTTTATCAAAGCTTCTCTTAAGTCAAGTCCTACATACTCCATGCTACTTTCCATACGAGACCATATATAGATAGCACCGGCAGTGTCTTCTAACCAAAAGATGAAGCCATTACTTACGAGAAAGGGTAGACTTTATTAGAAAAACCATAACTTCGAGAAAATCTGTAATTTCACGATCATACAAGACTTTATCACTGCTTATTTCTTTAAAAGGATGATTACTTTTTAATAGATTAAGAAGCAAGGGAATGTCTTGGGAGTATTATGTATCAGGACCATGAGGCAATTGTCGCAAAGTGGTGTCACTTCCTCTGTTTGTGTTGAGATTGAGTGAAGTCTGATTGGCATATCTTGTCTCAACATTGATAGATGTGTCAATGGGTAGGTCTCGGTACAATTGCCGAATTTCCAGGGCTCCTTTTCCGGGATCATATTCCCTTTCTCGTCTAGTGGGAGGAGATGCTGGTTCATTAGGTCATTGTTCTGTCTGGTTTGATCTTTTTGGAGCCTATTAGTGTCGTCCCGAATGAGACCTTGAAGATTGGACTTCCACATCACATTGATTACAATTGAAAGTCGATGAGATTTTGTCTCAACATTGCTATCCATCTCGCCAACTGCTTCTGATGTAGAAAAAGAAGTTGTATTTGCTCCTCAAGAAACTTCAACTTTTTCAGAATTTGTCCAATGATGATCGTGTAAAACAGGTGTTACCTCCTATTTGCGTAAGAGAGGTAATTTATAGATAGTTTTATAGTTTAGTATAGACAAAAACAATGTAACGAAAATAGCTTGTAGATCGATTTTAGCGAATAAAATAATAAAGTTTTTATTAAATAAAATATAGGAAATAGTTTTATTATAAATGATAAAGGAATACACACAAATGCACAATTACTACTTCTGCCGGCGCTCGCCCAAAGAGAAAAGAACTATCTAAAACAAAATGTTCAAATCCTATCGTTAACCAATAGAAACGAAGCTCTTTTATATTATAAATTTCTTTCCATGGCTTTGCTACGGCATTCTCTAGAACATGCGGCTTGGATGACGGAATTTCCAATTATTTGATTCCTGATGTTAAAAATGGTCATTTTGACATATGTCTTTCATCTTGCCAAGGGATCCGTATTGTCCTAAAGATCCGAAATGTCAATCCGCCAGAAATGACATATATCGTCACAGCCGGTGATCTAATTTTGGCGCAGTCAAAACCCTAGGGTGACACAGGCAAAACTCGTATTCCGAGCAAAATCCGCTCTGTCTACAGTTATGTTCAATCTGTTTTCCGTTTTTGAAGAAAGGTTTGGCCGAGATTTCTAAAATGTCGGAACAAAATTTAGCTGCACTATTAGCTTTAAAGTGATAACATATGCAGAATGAACCATACTTTTAAGGAATTAGAAACTCATTCATTAATCATTATATTATATTACTTATCAATTTATTATCGTTATAACACATGAATATTTATTTTATACAGTATATTCTAAAATTAAGTATCATTTATTGATTTTAAAAATTTAAAGGTTGACGTAAAAGAAAATTTATTATTATTAATATATTTAAATCTGTAAGGAATACATTTATATTTATACAAATATTAATTTTAATAAAAGATGGTTGAATCCTATTCCAACTAAATTTTCATTTATAATCATTTGTTAATTTTCTTAATAAATTATTCCTTTCTTTTATGCTTAATGTTTCAAGGAATTATTCAAAACCCTGAAGAACTGCTTTCGAATTAATCTCACCCATATCTAAAATATATTTTCGGTATTACAGTAATATCTTCATCATCATCATCATTCGAATTTATATCACTATCATTATCAAGGTTTTTTCAAACCATTTCGCAATTTCTTCATTGGATTCTTCTCAATCAAATTCCTTCTTATTGCTTTCAATATTATTATCCTTTTTAAACCAATTTATTAAGTATTGTTTCATTACGTTTCTAGTCAATTTATCATTTGCCTTGATCAAATCTCTAAACATGAACTCTTCATGTAATCTTCTTCGAACACGCCAATAAAGGAATCTTCTAGATTCCTTCCATTCTATCGATTTTCTTATCGTTTCTTTGGATTTCATTCTTCCTGGTGTATCATGTAAATCTGCAAATTGAATTGCTATTCGTGAATAAATCGGTAATAATTATTGTTCACTTGCATCCAAATGTAACTTTTGTAATACCCTCCAAATCATTTTGTGCAGTCAGATGTGAAACTCCATTCTTAAGCATAATTTGCGTGCCTTCAAGATCACCTGTATAAACTTCTTGTCCCAACTCATTATTCAATGCTGGTGCTCCGGTTAACATTATGAGTCGACCCTCATTTTGAATCGTACGCTGTCCCAACCTTACTAAGCAAGCTCCAATACTTTAATAAAAAGCATAAAAAGGTTAAATTAAAGAAAAAAATTTTTTAAATTAGACTTGCAGTGAATACGTACCGAATGAACGACAAGTAACTAACGTTATTGTGAAAATGTCCTCATATGTTCACGATGTTATCCCTTCAAACATTCAACACCAAGCCTATCTTTTGATCCAATAATATCGGTGATTTATGTCGTGATTCTCCTTCCTCAACAATTTCTTCCGCGATAACGAATTTCCTTCCATTTTGATATAATTGCTTATATGTCTCTTAAAAAAATTAAATACATTGTCTTGAATTTCCTTATCTATACATGCAACGTTAAAATGATTAATAACATTTTCTGATAATCCAATTCTTGCACCAGAATTTGCTGACAAGTATGTTCTAGGTATTCCCAATGATCTTGCCTGCCAATTCGGTTGCTTTGTAGAAAAATTGATTGATCTCCTAAAAGACAAAAAGATCCAATGTGATATGTGATATCAAAGACAATCTTTCTACCTTTGTAATATTCGGGTAAAAGAGTAAAGATCAATGCAAACATACCAATGAATTCGTTCCTGAAGCTCTCTCCACTTCTTGTAAATTATTATTCCCATCAAGAACAAGGTTCTTTGGCTTCCAAAGGACTATGATGAGATACGATGCATGATTCCATAGTATTCTAATGGCTTGACGAAATAATTTGGGAAAATCGTAAGCGTAGGTGGGGTACCCATTAAATGAGCCTTATGGTTGAAGCCATCAAGGTGTGTGGGTTGATTCAATCAATTGATTTAAGAATCTAGCTTTCACATTCTGTCTTTACCTCCTTGATAAGTTTCTACTTTAATAACATACCAGGAGACATATTAATGATAACACCTAAAGGATAACTTGTTACTATTAAATAACTTGATCAATAGAATCGAACAAAAATCAAGTTTTGACGATCAAACATTGCACTTTTAATTAAGTATTATAGAAGAAGCAATTATTTTAATAACAGTCATAATTGTTCTAAATCAACTTGTACTGGATGATTTAGATGATTATTTTAATTGTTTATAAAAATTTGTTTTACCAACTAATAAATTAACGTTAAGAAAATTTCAATGAAAAAAATAAATTACGGGGAAAAATCATCGCAACTTAACCGGTTAAAAAATTTTTAAATTTATAGTGAAAATTTCATCACGTGACTTAATATAATGAAAATCGAAAATTATTTTTGATGCATAATTCTATATAAAAGCGGCCTTATTTGATTCAGCATAGCATATAATGATTGGCGTTATCAGCTATTCCTTTTTTAAAAGTCCCGTTTCGAACTAGTAATTAATAATTTAATCACATCGATATAAATTACAGTTTATATGCACAGCACATACATCACTGCTCTAATCAATAATTTATTCTGGAAAATAAAATTCAGTGTATCAATTTTAATATTTAAAATAATTAATTGTATTGCCGATAAACTTTGAATAAACCGAAGAGTTCCTTTGGCTATAGAGTAGATTTTTTTTGAGCTGTTTTTTTAATGAGATTATATAGAAATAATCGCAAGAATATGTTTTTATAAAAGCACACAATAAATAAAAAAGAAGTCCTCGGGTAATAGAAATTGCTGAATTTCCAAAAATAAAATATATGATTAAGCATAAAAATTTAAAAATAATTTACACTACACCTCGAAATAAAAATAAAAAAAAAGAAACTAATATTAACCTAAAAAAAAATACATAGGTATATAGCATACATCCATGATTAAAAATAATCATAAAATAAATTCGATCGCTGAGGAAATAAATTCCTTCAACAATGGATGAATCATCATCGTCTATCTGCTTTTGAAGAATACGTAAATGTAAATTGTTTTTTTATATTTTTTTTCTTCGAAAATAAATTTTTTTATGTAAATAAAATTTTGATTTAAATTGTGATCAAAAAAATCGCTACGTCAAAAATAAAATAGATTAATCAAAACTTGAGAAACGATTTATCGATTCTAAAATCGATTCTAATTTTTTGAATTGATTTCGATCCCTCAACGGTAAATGGATTCCTAAAAGTTGAAGAAATGCAGCGTTATTTGGTAAATTGTTCACCCACAAAAAAATGTCTTGTTGTACACGCGTATCACAAAATCATCTAGCATTGAAATTCAAAGAAATTGCAAGCATGTGAGGTCGCCATCAGTGCGATGATTTACTCACTCTCATTATATTTGTTGCTAATTTATTTAGCATCGATCATATATCTATTGCCGGAGAGACGAACCGTAGAATAATCTTTTTATATTGTTGTCGTGTTTCTGTGGGATGATGAATGTTTTAATATTATGAATATTATGGCCACTTTGAACTATCCTGGAGCGCAAAAACACTCGGAAGATCAGTTGGGATAATTGGGATAGGTTATCGAGAGTGGGGTTTTATATGAGTATATTGAAAAATGCATTAATTCTGGTCATTAAATTTCATGGCCTTTCATTTGATGAGCGTCTTTATCTGTACTGTTAAAGCTATTTGCGTTAATTAAGTGAAGATGAATTTCTACATATAAATAAATATGTATTAAAACTTCATTTGTCATGACACATTAATAAATATAACTCACGATCACTTATTACCGTGCCAACCTTGAAATTCCCAGAGACTTACAATGCCTATTTTTAAATTACGGATCATGACATCTCGGAATCCTATCATCATAATAATATAGCTGTTTTTAAAAGTGTGATAGTTTCGCATTATCTTTACTGAATATGATATTAAAACAAATACATAAATTCAGAAAATACAATTATCTCTATCTAAAACAAACTAACCTTAAATCAAGTCTGACTCCAGAATCAAATTATTATATCACCATTCAGTAAATCATAATAATGTAATTATATAAAACGCCACAATAATTATATGCTGTGCAGATAACAAAATATCATGTAATTTGTTGTTTTTGGTCCATTATCTGTTAGACCAAAACATAAATTCCTATTTTATAAGGTATTTTCTCTACAATCCGTTGTTATCCTAGTACACGTCCAAGAGACATTATATACTACGTTGATATTATATTTCGAAGCGTAGCGAAGGACTATATACTTTTATGCTTTGTTAACAACGATTTCTGAACTCGTTCCATAGTTATATCATCTTCTTATATGAATTCTTTCAATATTAAATATGGATTTTTCTTTATCATCGATCGTATTTTGACACATAATTATTATCACTTTGTCGATGGAGCCCGTGATGCAGAAAATTGAATTTTTCGCTCGATTTTTTTTTATTACCAGTATGTTAAACCTATCAAAATCATATTTCATTAAGGATCCGTAATGCAAGAGCCAAAGTTAGGAAGAATTCATCTCTAGCTTCGTAAATGACAGATACAACCATCCTATCATCATATACATTGGTTCTTTAAGAAAATGTTTTCGCAGACCGTCTTCCTAAATTCTTGTAATTTAAATATTAACAACTTAAAAAGTAATAAAGGATTCATCGTATATTTCATATTAGTTATAGTGACCGAAGGCGAAAAACATTCATACCTTAATTAATTTATGAATTTACAAAAATATGATCCATTATGAGACTTTGTTCTAGACATAATTAATTAGATTTTAATATAACTTATTTTAACTTATAAAGGCCACATAACGTAAAGTAAAATTTTTGAGAATCTCTAATGTACTTAGCAAAATATTCTTCCATTTTGGTTTCAGAATCGAAATAATATTAAAAAGCTGTCTGTATTCAGGAGGAACATGACCATTTTCAATACTATTATTATTTGGTTAGTGGTTTACCTTTTTTTGGATTATTAAAGTAGTCGAATCACATGTCTAAATTAATATAGAAAATGTCAGATGATTAAAAAAAAAATTTTTTTTATATGAAATTGGCACAGCAAGTACTCGAACTCAAGACATATTTACTGAGATACTCTTATATTATAAGCAACATGCCTAGAGCTGTTACCACTATACTAATTCAACATTGATGTTAATTTGCATATAAATTCAAATAATTTAAATTAAATTGCCATGAAATTTGTCATGTGATTTTATTTCTTAAAAATTCGTTACATTAGTTATGTCATGTGAGGCGTGCGATACTTTCTCAATTTCGTTAATAAGGACATTGGTTATGTGTTGTATGATATAATTTCTATCTATTAATATAAAAACACACCACACTTAACGATTTTTTAAAATTTAACGTGAGTCTATAGGAACTGTTTTTTAATTTTTTTAAAAAAAACATCTCTAAAAAAGCCTTGTACGTGACGATTTCTTATTATTTTTTATTTATGACAGAATTCTATTTTGGATTTTCTTTTAATACACGCTTTTACTATTTTATAACGCGTTATTATTTTGTATCCATGTTTCGTTTTAATACCACACTTTCATTTTATTTTGTTTCATAAAGAAATTGTGTAATTAACTTACTTTGAATTGAATTCGCTATATTTATTACAAAAATTAAAAAATCAATATTCTAGGATAATAGAATCCTATATTCATTTTTTTATTCTATCGATGACATTTCAGATAAAGTAATTTTAGTGATTATTTCATTTACTTATTTTATTACATTTTAATATTTCTGAATATAGTGGAATCCTAAGAGAAAAAATATTGAAACTACAAAAGTCGAATTATAATGAAGTGGACGAAATTGTAGTGCTAAACGAGATTGAAAGTATATCAAAAAATCATGAGACAATGACTTGAAGAGGTAACGTCAATGGAAATAATGATATATTGGTGATTAAGAAATGTATAGAAGATATTAGAAAGAGAATGTTAACAATGGTAATAACAGTAATTACATAAATAAAGATCAGGAAGAGATGCATCAGTAGACATCAACCAGACGACAAATACAAGCGAAGTTGTTTTTTACTTGAAAAATTCAACATCTGTTTTATTGTTTTATTGTATACAGAAATATTTATAAGTTTACTTTTTATTATAATGAACGTATTTAATAATTTAATTTTACTTCAAAACTAGCTTTATTGCAATTAATAACCTTAGATCCTGTAGCTTTATAATAAATCACTAAACTAATCATAAAGATAGGCAATTGAATTTTTATTTATAGAAAAAGTTTTCGACCATTCTTTCAAAAATTTTCTCTTTAAAGATATAATTCAGAATGAATTTATGGCCAAAATGAATCACTTATTTCATACTATATTTTTAAGATTAAATATTTTTATTTTTATTTATACATTAAACAATTAAATTTAATAACCTTTTTATAAAGATACAACATTAAACCAACATAACTTTCATCATATTTTTTTTAATAAATATGTAAAATATTTAACCATTATTTAAAAGAGTTTTCTTCAATAAATCTAGTATTTATCATACAATTTAATATTATTATTTAAATAGAATTTGTATTTTTATATTTTGGATAAAACAAATTCATAATGCAATGCAAGTTTGAAGATTTACATTTTTTTTAATTAATTTCAAAAAATGTATCAATCAGAAAAAAATTTCCAAAATTTATTTGTAATAAATTGTAATAAAAAGTGATAAGTCTCATATACTATGGTAAGTTCTTCAACATTATGATAATATGAGACCTTTGCAATAAAAAAAGGTGAAACTGCCTAAAAAATAAAAGTTAAATTTGAACATATTTCAGCCTAAAAATCATATTTGCTATATAAAGTAAAATTGATTTTTTGCAGCAGTTTTTCACTTACTATTGTAAAGGCCTATATAGTCTAAATTTTTTTTAACGACATTATTAATATTTCAATAAACAAATCACCAATAAATGTATAATTAAATTTATATTGAATTTAATAATTAATATTCCAGCCATAAAATTA